AAATATTTATCATTACTTATTATGGCAAATTATGTTAAAGGGTTAGTGATTCTGATCTGTCATCATATTATTTCCCTGGGATCTTGTGTTGCTTCTTTTAAGCAAGTTAGTTTGAAGCTGCTAATTAGTCTGTTTATAAAGATATTTCCTTTACCTCCCCTGCTACTTAAATTCTGTCTAGGTGAAGTGATTTTATTTATTGAATCTTGTTCTGTTATCTTATAATTGTTTTAGTATATCAGTTATGTGCCCCAAGATTCCCTCATAAAAGCTGCTACTACTGCCCAGTACTCATCCACATTATTTTAAAATATTCACAAACATAATTATATCTGAGAATATGTTATCTAGAAAAGTTGCTTAGGGGCACCTGGGTGGCTCGGTCGGTTAAGTGTCCACCTTTGGTTTAGGTCATGATCCTGGAGTCCCAGGATCGAGCCCCACATAGGGCTCCCCGCTCAGTGGAAGTCTGCTTCTCCCTCTGACCCTCCTCCCTCTCGTGCTCCCTGTCACTCACTCTCTCTCTGTAATAAATAAAATCTTTAAAATAAGTTGCTTAAATTCCTTACAAATACCTCATATCACTCTTCTGCTGAAGAAACCTTCAGTGACATTCAGTGTCTATAAATTTCTTAGTCTGACTTTCAGAGCCCTCCATTATCTGGCTTCTAGGGACCTTACTTTCTGGAACTCCCCTTCTAATGTTCTGTTTCAGCCAAAATGTAAACTGTTGTTCTCTAAATATAGGCCCTAACGTTCCATAAATATGCCTTTGCTCATGTTGCTCTTACCTCTGAAATGTCCCATCCCCCCATCCTCACCAATCTAGATAAACTGGAATTACACCAATTTTTCAAGACTTTCCTCAGGTATAACCTTGGGATGAAATCTTAAATTGTCTCAGGCTGAAGTTATCTCTTAGCCCTCAAAACGTTCATAGTAAGTTCCTCATAGCTCTTATAATACTCTATTGTTATTTACACTAATAATTTTTACCCCCTTAATAATTATAAGTTTGATGAGGGTAGAGAGTATATTCTATCTATGCTTTATATCTCTTCCAATACTATTATATGACATTGAACAAATTACTTAGTTATACATGTAACCAATCCAATAAAAGTAATGCCTCATATTAACAGATGGTATTTTTTATTTTTCAAAATTCTTTTACATACATTATTTGCCCACTGAAATTTCAAAAATTAAGGAGAAAAACATTATTACATCCATTGTACAAATTTTACAGTGTGCACATAAACTATGCATTGTGTATTATTTTTCTGTTGTACAAATAAAGAAACTGAGACTCAAATAGTTCAAAATAACCTGTCCAAGGTATAGCAGCTAGTTAATGAATGTCCTGCGTTTAGAAACCAGCTCTTGATAGTTTCACTATATCAGCTATCACCCTTGATTAACCCAGTTCAATACTAAAGTATTTTCAGTTTAAACAAGTTTGTATTTTTTGGCTTCAGCAAATCATTTGATGATAATCCTTACGGCAAATCATTTGATAAATTTCCCCATTCTGATATTCTATTACCAGAGTGGAAAGTATAAAAAATATATTAGAGAACAAAAGCAGTTTTTGTTCTAATTTTCAAGGTCTTGCCCTGAAATAATCCTGGAATTCAGAGTATGTCCTAAATTTTTAAGGTTTTCCTTCTACCTAAAGGAGAATAGCACCTCTCCAGCTTCTGCTTTCCCTTCTTTCTGCCCTTCACTAAGCTACGTGAAATCTCTCTCACTAAGGTAAGTAACTGAGAAATTGGACCCATTTGCATTCCATATGATTTGTTAATTCTGAGAAACATAGCTTTTTAACAAACAGAAATAAGATGTAGTTTTATGAATTCTCTTTAGGGCAACTAGAGCTTCCCAGCTCTGATTTAGGGTATACCAAGCTATGGACAATTATCTCAGGTGACGTAGTGAAATTATCCCAAAAAGCAGACTGATTTTAATCCACTCTGATATTAAAATTGGTAATATCATATGTACTTTATAAAAGGAGGAGGAAGAGAAGGAAAAGGAGGAAGAGGGCTGATACAACTTTACAAAGTTGAAAACCATTACTTTAGGGAGTGTGGGAAAAGCAACCTGGATTTTATACTAAGCCTGAGCTCACCTAATTATAAACAAAATTATTTTTTTATGATAATTCTACCTAAAGAAAGTTGCCAACAAGACAATAGCTATGTACTCTCTTAAAAGCTAGTCTACTTGGCTATTAAGTTTCGTTCTATTTAATTAGCTGATGTCATCAGATTTGAATTGGTTAAAAGGAGGAGGAAAGAACTACCATTTATAGAACACCTTCCAGGTGGCAGGTAGTGTGCACAAATTGTCTTCTCAACATGATCCTAGTATTACTAGTCGCAGCCTAAAAGGGCTAAAAGTTTGCAGAAAAACATCCTCCAGACATAAGTACTTTTCCACACTGCTGGAGGATGTGTAATTGGCATAGCCATTTGGGAAATCAATTGGCAGTATCTGTTAAAATGAATAATGCACATAATCTGTGCACTATCAATCCCACTTCTTTGTGAAATTTTATAGAAATACATGCACAAGGATGCTCATTGCAGCATAGTGAAAACTGAAAACAATTTAAACATTGCTCATTAGGGAAATAGATAAGTTATTAAACATCATGGAACACTATGTATTAATTTAAAATAATGAATTAAGACATATCTCACTTATAATACAAAAAATGACTTACACTGCAGAATAATAAAAGCAGTAAATATTATTATTTGTACATACGTATTTATGTGAAGATACACCAGACAATAATGGTTATTTCTGGGTAAGGGATTTGGATAAAAGGAGAATGATTAAGGGAAGATCTTTGACTTTATCTGTATACATTTTTATGTTCACATGTATTCATGTACTATTGCATAACTAAAAAACACCTTTTATTTTCTTACCTCTCTGAACCTGCTCCTCTCGGCTCTGTGGGCCAAACCCACCTGCACTTGGTTGTATTTATAACCATCATCCTGAGCTGAAGACCATATACCTGTTTGGCCTACAATCTTTAATTCACTGCATTTGTCTGAGGAATTCTCCTCAGCTGTAGCAGGATATCTGAGAACATATTCAAAGGCTGCCTTGATATATTAAGCTTGCAGTATTACTGCTGATGTACCAGGGAAAGGGAGGATGAAAATGTTACAAGCTGAACCAAAAGAAAAACAAAAGAAAAACCACAGCATGCAAAGTATTTGGCAATTTGTTTTAAGAACAGCACAATACACCTCTATTATAGCTATACTTCCATATGAGTCTGCCAGTGTTTCCCTTGTAAGTCTGTGACTCTCATTTTCAATAGCCTCCTTGTTCTAAAAAAAGAAATATTTTTATTGTTGTGGGAATATATCGTGGAGTTCTGTCAATTGGTTGTAAATTACAGTAATGTATGAAGAGATTGAGTAATACTATCAACTATTTGCACACCAATGAAGCTACACAGTTTTGCTGATTTGGGAAAAAATGTAAAGAATGTCAGCATAATCAATAAAGTGACTTACCTAATCATTATTAAAAATCATACTCTCACTTTTATAGACCATTTTCTTTTAACATCAGAGCCTACTCTCTGAAATTTAACTAGAAGCAGATCAGGCAAACCATAATTAAAAGTCAGACTGAAGTAATCTCAAAGCAATAGTCTTTTTTTAAGTTTTTATTTTAATTCCAGTTTGTTAACATACAGGGTTATATTAGTTTCATTATATTAGTTTCATTAGTTTCATATATTAGTACAATATAGTGATTCAACAATTCCATACATCTCCCAGTGCTCATCACAAGCGCACTCCTTAATGCCCATCACCTATTTAACCCATTCCCCCACCTACCTTCCTTCTGGTAACCATTAGTTTGTTCTCTATCGTGAAGAAGCTCTTTCTTGGTTTGTCTCCCCCCTCCTTTGCTCATTTGTTTTGTTTCTTACACTTCACATATGAATGAAATCATATGGTACTTGCCTTTCTCTGACTGATTTATTTCACTTAGCATTATACTCTTTAGCTCCATTCATGTTGTTGCAAATGACAAGATTTCATTCTTTTTTTAGTTGAATAATACTCCATTGTGTATATATACCACATCTTCTTTATTCATTCATCAGTCAGTGGGCTCCTGGGTTGCTTCCAGAGCTTGGTGATTGTAAATAATGCTGCTATAAAAATAAGGGTGCATGTATCTCTTTGAATTAGTATTTTTGTATTTTTTGGATAAATATCCAGTAGTGCAATTGATTGCTGGATCATTGGGTATTTCTATTTTTAACTTTTTGAGGAACCTCCATACTGTTTTCCAGAGTAGCCATACCAGTTTGCATTTCCACCAACAGTGTAAGAGGGTTACCCTTTCTCCACATCCTCGACAACATGTTGTTTCTTGTGTTTTTGATTTTGGTCATTCTGACAAGTGTGAAGTAATATCTCATTGTACTTTTGATTTGCATTTTCAGGGCAGTAGACTCAGTTGAGTTTTCTTTGTTTTTGTTTGTTTGTTTGTTTTTATTATGTTATGTTAGTCACCATACTGTACATCATTAGTTTTTGATGTAGTGTTCCATGTGCCCTCCTTAATACCCATGGTTAGAAAATTCTTGTATTTTATGTTTTTGTGTTGATAAATTTTGCATCTTGTTAAATTGCAGACATATAATAACATTGGGATGTATATTAGCAGAGATCTCAAAAAGAAAAGAAGGATGTAACCTAGAAGTACAAGAAGAATGTGTTGGTATGAAAGTATTCTAGAAATTAGTTTATTATTAGTTTACTAGCAAAGCTGACAATGGAATTCAGTAATGTGTTCTTTGGATATCATCTAAGAAAACACTAAATAAAGTTCTTCTGACAAACTGGGTTATTATAAAATTAAAGGAAATAATACCTAAAGAAGGTAAGACATTCAAATAACACTGCTTAGTAACCATTTCTGAACACCTCCCCCCCACCTTTTTTTCTCAACAGGAACGCCATTCTCCAACTCTGAAAATATCTACTTGCCCCCCAAACAGTGTATATATAACCCCAAATATTGAACAGGTAAAAGAAGTTATGGATTAGATTAGATTCTTTTATTTTTATGTAAACCTTGCTCATATGTTTAAGTAATCTTTAAGCCCTCCTAAGGCTTTACACATTTACAAAATGTCAGGAACACAAAACTAGAAAGGGGATTCTCACATATGGTAATCAGCTCAGCCCATTAAAGGAATGTGAAACAAGTCCTGAAACAAATGCTATGAACGGAGATTTTTCAGTTTCATTGTCTATTCAATCTGATTGCTTTTAGTTTGAGTGCAGTTTATTTTTAGTCAAGGATCTCCTAGTAATTATATATATTTTAGGGTCTTGATTTTAGCACAAATAAAGTACTTAGATCTTGGATTGAACAAGGACCTGACTTTTGAGGGATAGTACTGTAAGTTTACATTCAGAAAAAATAGCTTATAGGGTCAGAACTAGCCGTTCTCAAAGGTACATGATTTGAAATACATGCAAGAATCTAGTTCCCTTAGCCTTTACAATTTAATAATCCCACGTTTAAGATTACCCTGGAGTCTAGGCATTATATCTCCAAAAGATACCTGTAATAATAATTAAATACCATATTAACAAATATGTGTTTAATGAGCTAGTCACCATTCATTGAAAAGTGAATCCTAAGAAAAGAAAATAAAAAATATCCTTAGTTACTACATGGGAGGGGAGTATAAAGGATTTGGGATTTGAAGGCTAGGAGGGAGGAAGATGGTGTTCTAAGAAAGCAGTCCTGCCCAGATGAGGTGTCAGGGTATGAGCTTGAACAGTAAGGAAACAAAGGGATAAAAGCTGGTCTCTAGACTTTGGTAATAAGGAAAAGGTGATCTTATGAAAAACAAATAGGATTATCAAAAGTTTGTCTACCATTTCCCAATTTAACATAGCCTAGAACTAAGTCAGTTAGAGTAATGCATTTGTTTAATTTTTTAAATATTTGTTTAAAATATTTATTTTATAAATATTTTATAAATACTTTATTATTTTAGAGAGACAGAGAGTAGGAGTGGGTAGGGGACAGGGAGTGGGGGAGAGAGAGAAGCAGACTCCCTGCTGAGCACGGGGCTCTATGTGGGGCTTGATCCCAGGACCCTGAGATCATGACCTGAGCCGAAATCAAGTCAGTCACTTAAGCCACTGAGCCACCCAGACTCCCCTAGGGTCATGCATTTATTTAGCAAACATTTGCTGAATGCTGACTATGTATCAAATATTGTATAAAGATGTATTAGACCCAATTACTATTCTCAAAGAGCTCACAGACCAGCATGGGTCACATACACAGCAAAACATAGGACAGTGGGATAAAGGCTACAACAGAGATAGAAATAGAGCCCTACAGGACCCTCAAGATAGGATTACCCCAGAAAAGTAAGTCCACTTAAATCACAGAGCTATTCACTACATTCAAATCCGGGCAGCAAATTGCATTAGCTGTTATTTTTCATAATGAAGCCTTTAAAATTGGGTTTACCATGTTTTATTTCTGATAATACAAATATGTTTATTGTAGAGAATTTTGGAACCATAAAAAATGTAGAGAAGAAGAATAAAAATCACTCATGATTCCTTCCCTTACCCACAGATAGTATTATTAGCATTTTATGTTTTCTTCCATTCAAATAAAGAATTGAGATCATACCATATATGCAGTTTTATATCTTCATTTCTCACTTAACCTTATATAATATTATGAGCTTTTTTCATGTAAATTTGTATTACTAATCAGAATCATTATTTTAGTAGCTATATATTTCAGCCTATGGATGATTATTTAATCTTTCCCCTCTCCATAGGAAAGTGGTCCTATTAGTGTACCTTCATCAGTATTATTATTTAAAATTTTTTTCCAGCTAAAATATAGTACTTTTGTTATGTTTATTTGATTCTTAGTTTGGTTGAATACTTCTTACTGTTTATTAGCCATTTGTTTTTCTTCTTTTATAAATGTTCATGCCATTTGCTCATTTCTCTATTAGCATGAATTTTTTTCTTATTGAGGTATAAAAACTCTATATTAATGATATTGACTCTTTTTCCATCAAAAGTTTACAAATGACTTTATTCTAGTGTTTTTTCTCCATTTTAATGTTATTTATGGCCCTCTCCCACCATCACACTGAAGTAGTAAATGTTTAAGTACACACACACACACACACACACACAAACACAAATTTTTCTGTGTCGCCTTGTATTTTTAAAATATGAGATAATAAATATTAAGCTATATTTTCTTCTAATATTGTGGGGGCATTACAATGCAATGAATATGTTGAAACTCTCATCAACTATAGCTTGGAATGTGTGATGAATTACCATGAAATGAGTATTTAATAGAAATACCTAGCACAGTGCTGAACACATAAACACATGCTTTCATATATGTTTCTAATACTAAAATTAACTAAACCCACAAATTCATATGTCATCATTTATGCAAATGACTTTTAAAATTTCACTCTGAAAATTGCTCCCTATTATTATTAATGGCTTCAAGGTCACTAAGCAACTATAATTATGTGCAGCTTTTATCTTTCTTTACAGGAACTCCATTCTCCAACAGTGAAAGTCACTGCATATCCACAGACTACTATTAGGAGATACATAGTACAAAATCCTGAACAGGTAAGCTATATCACACAAACTCTTATCTCAACCTATAATTCCTTAGAAGTTGATAGCTTAAATGAGAAGTGTGAGTCAGTTACCAGATCCCTAAAATCAGATCATTGGGAGTTTCTTCTGGTTATAAAGTTAATTTCTAATCATTAGTATAAAAAAAAGTCATTTTTTAAATATTATTAAAGATTTTATTTTTTTATTTTTAATTTTTTTAGTGATTTATCAGTTGCATAACACCCAGTGCTCATTACATCAAGTGCCCTCCTTAGTGCCCATCACCCAATTACCCCTTCCACTAGCCCCTTCCCCTCCAGCAACTCTTAGTTTGTTTCTTAGAGTTACAAGTCTTATATGGTTTGTCTCCCTCTCTGTTTTTATCTTATTTTATTTTTCCTTCCTTTCCGCTATGCTCATCTGCTTTGTTTTTTAAATTCCACATATGAGTGAAGTCATATGGTATTTGTCTTTCTCTGACTGATTTCACTTAGCATAGTACACTCTAGCTCCACCCACATCATTGCAAATGGCAAGATTTCACTCTTTTTGATGGCTGAGTAATATTCCATTGCATATATGTACCACATCTTCTTTATCCATTCATCTGTCAATGGACTTCTGGGTTCTTTCATAGTTTGGCTATTGTGGACATTGCTGCTATAAACATTGGGGTGCATCTACCCCTTCAAATCACTATTTTAAAAAGTCATTTTTAATTCCAGACAACTATGTGCCCATATATTCTGATTTAGTGAGGCAACACTTCCAAGCAGCATGGAAATTCTTAGGTTATAAAATCTTTCTACTTCTATAGCACCACCTTTGTACTACAAAGGATAAGAATTTGCATCCTTTGAACCAAAGGAAAAAGGGACAAAGTTCTTTCAGACTTCACATAAAAGATATCAGCTGTTAGATCAAGGATTGGAGTCCTTAGTTTATTTAGATTTGCTATTGAGATATGGGCTAGGAAGAAGAAAATGAAAAATCAAAAGTTCATTAAGTGTCTCCATGCCTTTATTGCCTATGCTGTGAACTTTTGTGCCTAGCAATGAGCTCTTTTGAAAATTATAGTTATATTTTCTACTAAGATATATAACCTTATATTTTACAAACTAGTATATTATTCTCTATTTCATTTTGAGGAGAAAACTAAGAAAACGTTTTCCCACAGTAAAAAGCCTTCCTCAACACATACAAAACCATCTACAGCCCTTCTTTACGGGCAACAGGAGGTTCTATGGGGTTACAAGGACAAAGTTTCACAAATAGAAACAGTGTGCCAGAGATAATAATACAGCAATTCTTTGTGTTGCTCTTTATTTTATTTCTCCATGATTGCAGGAAAGAATCCTCCCATCTCTCACAAAATAAAATCAATTATTTGCTTCAGCTGTGGAAAGCAACAGATTAAATTAGGGTAACACATTTGATACTACTCTAGGTGCATGGGTGGGGAGTGCACTGTTTTTCTGTTATCTGTCCTCCTCTCTTCTTTCTTTGTTTATTTTAAAATCATTTTCTCATGTCTCTTCAGCTACAAAGGCAGTTAGTTGTGTATGTGTGCATGTGTGAACATATCTGCTTGCAAGCTCTGTGGTAGGGTTATGATTATTTTGAACATTTGCCTCAGTTTTCACGTACCTATTGTAAATATCAAAAGAGAATGTGATTACAGTAAAGCAGTTGCTTGTGCCTTCTTTTGCAGAATCAAATGTTTAAATAACAAATCTCAAAAGCGTGTTGGGGAAGGGAGACATAAAGAGCTTGGGAGATGAGAGTGTGCATTTTTCTATGACATGGCCACTTTACCCTTTCCCCTTCTTCTTCCCTCTTTCTCCTTTTTCTTTCTTTCACATACAAACTGGGGAATATGTTTACTGGGATGCATATTACACTTGATATCCCTGGCTTTCAAAGAATTAGTTCTAGATAGCACTTTTTTTTTTCATAATGTGAGAATTGCTGTGTTTACCTAGGATATATTCACAGAGTAATTTTTAAATATCAAATAATTTGGATTCCAACCCTCTTGCCCAGTGATTCTTATGTGACTTTGGATAAATTCTTAGTCTTAAGTTAATAGAGAAAAGGAAGAATTAATGTTTATTGGATATATGCTCCATGCTAGGAAATTTACATATTTTATCCCATTTAATCTTAAAAAGGTGAGAAAATAGAAGCACAATGAAGTTATTTATTCAATGAAAATTTATCAGTTGTCTACTATGTACCAAAAATTGTTCCAAGAATTGGGGATAAGGTACTGAACAAAACAAAGTCCCAATCTTCTTGAAACTTAAGCTTTTAACTATCTTCAAACCATTCAGTTACAAAGTAACAGAGTGGGAACAGAAACTGAACAATGCCCATATGGAAAGATACATTTGCAAATTAAGGACAATTGAGGATGTAGGTGATTTAGGATCCAGAGACTCATCTACATACCGACTTCCTCCCATCATCCCCTGCGACAGTGTAATACAAAAGCAGAGAAATTAGAAGTATGTATGGAAATACATAACATATTTGTAACACTGAGCCTGCCAGTGTAAAGGCTTATTATTATGGCTGTGTTCAACAACAAAGAAGCAAATAGTTTCTTAGGGAAAAACCCCAGCAGGCGGTAATGATTATTTTAAAGCTTTTAACTCTTTCTATTATTGGAGGATAAAACAAATTTCTGCCCCTATGCTTTGTAAACAAAAATAATCTAACTGGTTTTGCAGAGCAGCTTGAAAATCCTATTTAGATATATTCCCCATTTTGTTTATCTAAGTATGTGCATTTTTGTTTGTTCTTTTAAATCCCCCCAGGAGAAGATTCTGGCTTAATTACAATATTTATAACAAGCTGAGCCTCCTAAATGGCACCTTTATCCTCTTTCACCTCCCAGTTTATCTAATCTTCCCTTCTCCCTGTAATTAAACTGATCTCAATCTACTTCTCTTATTATGATTTCCTTCTACCTCTGTTCAGCCTTTTTAAAATTTTTGGTTGTTTGTGATCTCCTTTATTCTCCATTTATTGTCATTTTAGTCAAAGCATTTATGCATTCTGGTATATAACTTGACCTAGAAATGAAGAAAATATTTTTGTTCCATCAGTAGATAGAATCCAATTGCTATTAATCAGTTTTATTAATTTTCTAGTTGTGGAGCTCCTGCTATGGGAATGGAACTGTACAGCTTTCATATGGGTGGGGGGAAGGAAACAAGACATGGCTCCCATACAAAAGCGTTTAGTTTCTCTTGGCAAGGGAAATAAGATATGTCCACAAATAGCTATGTAAAATATATGGTGGGGTGTATGATAGATGATGCGAGAAAATTACAGATGAAGTCTTATTGAAGTTCCAGGGGTTGGAGATAACACATTCATTTGGGGGAATCAGAGAAGGATTTATTGTGGTATTTAAGGAATTATTACAGTTAACATTGTTGCCAGCATCATTTTACTAATGAGGAAACTGAAGGTTAAATAAGTGTGACTTGTTCAGGTCTTCTGACTCTAAATCTATTACTGTCTTTTCTGACAGTTATTCTGGGGGTAGTTTTGATAAGATTTGATAACTTATGTTGAATATAGAGTTAAAAGAAGAAGAAAAGTGGGGCACCTGGGGTGGCTAGTCAGTTAAGTGGCTGACTCTTGATTTTGGCTCAGGTCATGATCTCAGGATCCTAGGATGGAGCCCCACATCAGGCTCCACTCTCAGTGGGGAGTCTGCTTGAAGATTCTTTCTCTCCTTCTCCCTCTGCCCCTACCCCCGCTCATGCTTTCTCTCTCTCTCTCTCAAATAAATAAAAATAAATCTAAGAAAAAAAAGAAGAAAAAAAGTCAAATATGACCCTAAGCTCAGTTTGAGATACTGAGAGTATGGTAGCCCAATTAAGAAGTGAGGGGGAGCAAAAGTTCATTTGGAAAGGGGTAGATCATGAGATCTCTTTGAACCAGTAGTGTTGGAGGTGCATGGAAGGGAAGATGACCACATGGACAGTTAAAAATGACCTGGAGGGGGCACCTGGGTGGCTCACTTGGTTAAGCGGCCAACTTTTGATTTTGGCTCAGGTTATGACCTCAGGGTCCTGGGATTGAGCCCCGGTCAGGCTCCATGCTCAGCAGGGAGTCTGCTTCAGGATTGTCTCTCTCCCTCTCCCTCTGCCCCTCCACCTGCTCGTGCTCTCTCTCGAGGAAAAAAAAAAAAAAAGTAAATCTTTAAAAAAAAATGACCTTGAGGGGGTGACTAGGTGGCTCAGTTGGTTGAGTGTCTGACTTTTGATCTCAGCTCAGGTCTTGATCTCAGGATCATGAGTTCAAGCCCCACACTGGGCTCCATGCTGGGTGTGGAACTTACTTAATAATAATAATAATAATAAATAACCTGGAGAAAGGTCACATTTGAGATAGAGACATGGGAGTTATTCCTTTGAAAGTTGTCATTGTAGCTGTGAGAATGAATGAGAAAACTGATGGGTAATGGAGAAGATTGAGGTACAGAACTTTGTGAAATGCCTAACTTAAGGAAACAGAAAGGAGCCACTTTCATGGGCAGAGGAATTGTCAGAAAGAAATGTGAACACAGAGTAACTGAAGCAAAAGAGAAAGGGGGTGGTCAACTGTCCCAAATAACCAAAAGGCCAAAGAGGATGAGGATGAGGTTTGAGAATAGAGAGTTTGACCATTATGTAATGGTGATATTTGAGAGTTTCCTTATACTTGTGGAATCAAAACCCAGATGTGCAAAGTTAATGGGTGAATAGATCAAGAAATGGAGGAAATAAATGAGGATTACCCTTCCAAGAAGGATATTGGTCAAAAGAAGGAAAGATGGGATAGTAGCTAAGGGAGAAAACAGAATCTTGGAGATCTAAGAGATTTATAGACAGAGGAAAAAGAACCAGTAGTAAGACTAAAGATGCCACAGAGAAAGGGGACAAATGGGACATAATTCTGGAAGAGACAAGAGGGGATAGGATTCCAGGTATAGAGAAGTGACTTCAACATAAAAGGAGGAGTTTTTCTTCCTTGGTAATGAGATGGAAGGAGCAGAAATTGAAGAGAGATTTTTGAGGTAGGGAGGAAAATGAAGGAATCTCATTGAATAGATCTTGGTTTTCTCAAGAAGAAGGAGAATGAGGGAATGTGAGGATAGGGATTGAGGAAATTGAAAAAAAATTGTAACCACAGTTATAGAGAATTTGATAAACACAACTGTGACCATGAAGTTTAGAGAGGCTCTTAAAGTAAGATAACTTAAAGTTGTACTGAGCCAAATCAGCAAATATTTTCTTAACTTTCTCCAGCAAGGTTTCATGGCCTGGGAACAACAAAGTAGACGCTGGGGATTATGTACTTTGTTAGATGTGAGAACTACTGCCAGAGGTTCTAAAAGTAACAATTAGAATGATAAAATCAGCCATCTTTGAAGACACCTATTAATTTTTAGGGTGGATCTGGCACCAATTCAAATGTACAGATAAAAAAAATAAGCTGCCAAAATAGTAAAGTTGTCTAACAGCTCATTTGTGAAAAATCTAAGACTTCTAATTAAATTTACTTTGCTGATCTGTTTTACTAAGAATGATTTATTCAAATATAGTAAGATTTGGTTTTACCTTTTTAAACATTTTGGGAAAATAATAGTCCTCTAAATTTGGAAGTTTTTTTTTTTTTTCAGTAAGTCATTTAAAATAATAAGTCCAACACACATTTTGGAGAGAATCAACACTGTTAGGACCCAAACCATTTTTCTTCTTAAAAATAATAATGGTTCAGCATTTATAGTGAAAAAATAGAAATTTTCTTTTGCTAACTTTGTTTTCCCCTGTTAGAAGGTGTTTATATCCTTAGGATAAACATTCATATCATCTCTTTTCATCCAGTCATCTGTTCATTCACTATGGGGTATTCAAGATGGATACAGTCCCTGCCTTCAATAAGCCTATTTTTGTATATACTTTACCTTGATATCTTAGAATAGTTCTAACAAGGTTCTCATTAACTTTTTAAATGCAGTATGGACTTAAAATATTATATTACTATATTATTAAACACCAATATCATTTGTACATTAAAATCACAGATTAAAGGTATTTTAAAATACATGATTTTACTTGATATAAAGTATTCTGCATTACTATCTCTGTGATAAGAAAACTAAGCCTCGGAGAAGGTAAATGACTTTCCTACATTTCCACAGCAAGTAGGTGATAGAGGCAGAACTGAATACAGGTTTTATGACTCCAGAATTTTTTTCCATTACACCTTCTTCCACTAATTTTAGTAGTCGGATCCCATGGATCTGTAGTAGTCCGAATCCAATCTGCTTTGGAATTCTCACCTGTTGACATCTGAAGCATTTATACTGTCACTCACCTTTCCACTGCTTTATGAAAATTTTTCTTCTTTTGATTTTTTCCATTATTCCCTCTGTTTCTCATATCTCTTAAGACTTATGTAGTTATGTCTTTGATCCTCACTTGCCTTTTCAGCAATTGCATGATTTTAACAAGATCTTCTAAACATATTATTCTGAAACCTAGAACTAGAACTGTAGCTATGAAATCTCTACTCACCTGTGCGCTGGACATCTATAACTTGAATGCCTTCCTGAACATTTTGATATAAGTCTCTTTGCTAATTATTTGCAATAATTTAACACATATTTAAGGGATAACTATGAACTATATATTTACTAAACGTTATAAGGAATAAAAACATGAATCAGACCTAGGTTTTTACCAGGAGCACATAAAATTCAATGTGTCTCAACTTTTCTTGTTTTTGTTTTTGGCACCACTGGTTATGTAGTAGATTTCTCAGATTTAAGATCTTAGAGTCATCTTTGGAAAGTACTGTCCTTGATGATTTAGGATAATCTCTTTACTAGTCTTCTCACCTCTACTCTTTCCTTTCTCCAGCAAATCTTCCTGAAGTAGATTTATGTTCACCTCACATCCCTATTTAAAAGCATTCAAGGACTTCTCACTGCTTTCAGAACCAAACTTCTGTCTGCCATCTGTGTCCCTTACATATATCTTACACTTCTACAGTCTTGATTTCATGACTTATTTTGTTTACTTCATTTGTAATACCATTTTCTTCCATCTCCTCATATGCAAAGCCCACCTTAACCTTTTCTCAAATGCCACCTGATCAAAGTAACCTTCCTGAGCACTGCCAGATGGAATTCAATTTTTCCTCTTCTGAATTCCATCCCATAAGTTATTTCTCTGAACCTCTTATAGGCACTTGCTTCTTTCTACCTTGTATTATAGATGTTTATGTTCATATATTATCTAGACCAGGGATCAGCAAAATTTTCCTATGAAAGGCAATATAGTAAATATTTTAGGTTTTGCTGTCACCATAGGGTTTTGGTCTTCTTTGTACTTACAGTCCTTTAAAAATCTAAATATCATTCTTAGCTCAAGGACATTATAAAAATAGGCTTTTGGCTATAGTTTGATAAATACTGATCAATATTCAGTCTTCCTGGTAATAATCTAAGTGTGATTCATGCCTTATAAAACTGAGCACTGGGTGTTATACACAACTAATCAATTGTTGAACACTACAACAAAAGCTTATGATGTACTATATATTGGCTAATTGAACATAATAAAAAAAAGAATTTCAAAATAGCAGAGTAAAGTGGAAAATGAGGAAAAGAGGTTTGTTTTAGTAAGAAAGTGTAGCCATTTTTTAAAACAGATCATTGATATCTAGTCTACATTTACATAAATGTGCATATTTCAGTCAAGTCACCTTTTATAATTTTAATCTTTACTATCACCAGTAATATGTAGTAAGCTAAAGTATATTGATATCGGTTATGTTGACATTAAATAGATATGATTACTATATTGTTACAGTTTGAAGTTATTGCACTGCTAGATTTATACATAATTGTTAAGTATTAAATATCTCAGTAAAACGCTTTAAAAAACTTAGCAAAGTGTATTGTGCATAGTAAGCTCTTAAACATGTGTTGTATGACTGCAAATAACTACCAAAAAGGCTTTTTTTTTCACTAAGACAAACAGACACAAAAGCTTCCAGAGGAATCTTTCTTTCTTTTTTTTTTTTTTGCCTCAGAGGAATCTTTCTAAATATATCCACCTTTAGATTTAACAATTCACCAGCTAGCCAAATTTAATCACTTGCATATTTATTTCACCAAAATATTCCAGGAACATTTAGTTAAAGCACTCTTTATTCAATCTTGAATACAAGAAGTATATAGCTTTGGATTTCAGAGTGTTTTTCATTCTCAACAAACAGTGTTTTCATCCAGTTGTTTTTAAGAATTTTTATAATAGCAGATGACAAAAATGCTAACATATTTTGATTTTGAAATGGTCTTAAACACATTAACTGGTAGCAGCCTTGGTCAATCCCCTTCTATACTGTTCCCCTATATTACAAAAATAAATGAATGCAATTTTTCTTTGTAACAAAACAACCTCAACTCCCTCCATATAAGTAGACTCATATGAAAACAAAAAAAGAAGGGAACGAAATATAGTAATATTGCATTTATTTTAAACTCTTGATCTGATTCTTATTAGTCTTTCCCTGATCTCTTTCAGATCTTGGACATGTCAATAGCCTTTATTTCATTGGCTGATATCTTTTAAGCACTTGGATAATACTACATCACCTTAGTTAATTATATGGGGATACAGTAGCGCTTAAAGACTCTACTCTGTTCTCAGTATTCAAAACATATGTTGTATAGACAGACTTAGCTTTGATTATAATCACAAGTAAGAATTGTACACTTCAAGGACACCAAAGCTAAGTTCCAGGAAAAAAATATCTTTAATATAGTTTTACCTACTTTAGAGCTCAGTGATGAATTGTTTATTTTGCATTTCTCCAATAATACTTTTGCATAGAAAGAAACCTGCCAGTGAACTCAATTTAAATGAAGTTGACCTCATGCCTGTCTACCTCAGAGGAAACTCCCTGTATCTTGCCTCAAGAACAGGAAAAAAAAAAATATCTTTCTCAGCCCCTTCCAATTTCCCCTAAAACACTTTGTTAGGCCTAGTAAAAGGTAGTAGGAGAGATCCAGATTGCTCTGCTTGAGAAAATAGACTATCTTTTTACTATTTCCTTACATCTCTCAAAACCTTATTGGGATGTCATTCCATTCTCCTAATATGCTACTAACTCAGAGTTTATTAGAGACTAGATATTGCTTAAGTTGAAGTTCATCTGAAACGGTACCTTTCAAAACAAAACACAGTCATTATTGTCTTTATAGGAACCACTTCCTCCATTCCTAAGAGGAGGCCATTTCTTCCCAGGAAACAATGTTATTTATGAAAAAACAATAAGAAAAGTAGAGAAGCTAAATATGGATCAGGTATGTAAAATTTGTTTTAAAGCTTATTAAGTGTATACTTCTGAATTACCAGTATTTTAATAGAGTTAAGATGACACTCAATTGTCAAGTGCCAAGCAAGGCCACTATGAGTCATAATAATACCTTATTATGTCTACACCCCTTCATATCATCCTTAACACTTTCATATTTATTCTCCCATGTGAAGTATTATTGTCCCTTTTTTACTGAAAGGGAAACTGAAGTAAAAATATGTCAAGTCACCTAGAAAATTAATGGTAGAAACTGAATTTAATACAGATATCCCAGTGCTTTGTACATTTCTTTTAAACTGGCCTCACACAAATTATAATTTAAAGCATTATAACTTTGCCTTAATTATGGAATTTGAGAAACAAAACAGATGAACATAGGGAAAGGGGGGGAAAAGAGAGGGAGACAAACCATAAGAGACTCTTAACTACAGAGAACAAACTGAAGATTGATGGAGGGGAGGTGGGTAGGGGATGGGCTAAATGGGTGATGGGTATTAAGAAGGGCACTTGTGATGAACTTTGGATGTTATATGTAAGTGATGAATCACTAAATTCTACTCCTGAAGCCAATATTATATTATATGTTAACTAACTAGAATTTAAACAAAAACTTGAAAAAAAGTAAAAAAATATATATATATAAAACGAATTTTCAAATGAACAGTGTGTATGAGCAGGTATGTAAAATACTATATACTGTAAAAGTCTAGAAAACTATAGTTCAAGTCACATTTTAAAAATTTCATTAAATTCAGCTGAGAGACCAAGTACAACATTCAAAACTGTAGCAGGGCAATGGTAATTCCATAGCATGTAGAGCTACCAGACCTACAATCAGGGTTGTTACTGTAGCCAGCAGAAGTTTCATATTGATCTTCTCAGTGGATACAAGCATGTCCAGCCCAAACAAAGCCTAGGACTTATCTCTTGAACATTCTTGAAGTAGGATAGTGTATTAGTTTCTTAGGACTACTGTAACAAAGTATCACAATCTTGGTGGCTTAAAAGAACACACTTTTATTGTCTCACAGTTCTGTAGGCCAGAAGTATGAAATCATGATGTTGGCAGGGCCATGCTCCCTTTGAAGCCTTTAGGGAAGGACCTCTTCTATGACTATCTCCTAATTTCTTATGGTCTCAGGTGTTCCTTGGTTTGTAGATGCATAACTTTTATCCTTTATCTTCACATGGCATCCTTCCTGTATGTCTTCATATCATCTTCCTTCTGTGCATGTCTGTCTGTGTCCAAATTTTCCCTTTTTATGAGGACACCAGTCATATTTGATTAGGACTCATCCTGATGACCTCATTTTAACTTCTTACTTCTATAAAGGCCTTGATTCAAGAAAAAAAAAAAAAAGAAGGAGCAGCCCCTGTTTCTAAACAAGGTCACATTCTGAGGTACTAAGGATTAGGACTCTAACATATGCTTTTTGTTGGGGGGACACAATTTAACCTATAACAGGCAGTTAAATAATATCAAATGAATTTTTATCACAAAATCATTTTTCTCATATACAAATGAAACATTAAAATATACTAAATTCTTTTTAATTTTCTTGGCATGAGAACACATCTTATTTTTATGAACATTTATGGGCAGTTGTTATCCGATTCATAGGAACTAATACATTATTACTTATTTGATGCCCATTAAAAATAAAATAGTGTAAACTCTCAGAATTATAAAAATCCAAAACTTTAAGACTCTGGTCTGCTTAGAAAGTTGGATATATTAGAGAGTTTGGTATGTATTGAACACATATCTTTCAGAAGAACAATAGAATATTTCTGGATATTATGATACCAAATAGAAAAATTTTATCAAATATGTCAGTTCTTCAAGGGGCATTTTCCTCAAGCTATCAAATTATAACATCTGTCCTTTGTCCGACTGGACTGACCAAACAATAAGTTTGACACATTTTAAAGAAATGTTTGAGACACATCATTTCATGCTCTTCTAATTTCTTGTCTCAAAAAGGATACTTTTCTAAGTCTTCATTCCTAGAGGAAAAGACTGAATATCCTGTACATTATTATTGCTATACATATGGAACAATTAAAGAACTCCTTTAAAAGAACACTACAGTTACTATTAATTTGAATATTTACCTTTTTACATCCACTTTTTTTATTAGTGACTTAAATGATTTGGGAGTTTGGGGACTGCCATGAGAGATTACCCAAGGTAAAAGGAACCATGCATATGGAACAAACTATAACTGCCTTGACCTAGTTGAGTTTCCTCAGTGATAGAGATGCAGTAGGACAAGCTCGATAAAGCTAAGTCTGGATGAAATGGTTAATGTTACATGAGACTAGTTCAAATAGGACTAGCTCTTAGGAGATAAAACCTGCCTAAAAAAGAGGTCTTTGTCATGAAAAGGTGGTAAGTTGGTGCCAGTTGCAAGATAATTATGTAGTTCATATGAACTGTACTCTGTATATATTTTTTCTCTATCAAAGAAGACAAAATATATGATAAATCATAAATGTTTGATCTTTTGTACATTAAAAATCCAGCTTGTGGTACACTTCAAAAATATGAGTAATGTATGAATAGCATGCTTTAGAACAATAATTTTAGTAGTCAGGTATGAGAATTGAAGCTGAAAATCTGCTAAGACTTCAGTGATACTAATGAGTGATTCAGAGGCCAGAAAGGCTCAAGGAAACCACAAGACACCCCAGATGGAGAGACTGTCAGCATTCTATTCAAGAGTCAACTGATATATTAATAAAGGAAGATGATTGAGAAATGAGTTTTGTTTATTGTCCTATATTGATATGTCCTCCAAAGTGTTTCCTAACTTGCTTTTTAAAGAACACATTATTATTATTATTATTATTTTTAAGGAGGAATTCTATTTCAGTACTGTACAAGTTCCCTGCTGGGTGAAGGTTTTCTCAGCCTGTCACTCTGACTTTATTCTAATCCAGTGTATGAAGGTATTTTGTAACATAAAAGAACAGAAATACATTCACCCCTACAATTTGTACATAAGTGGCTGATAGTACACAGTCTGACTTCTAAACTGTAGAGATCTTAGTGCTAGCATGTAAAGTGAGTCATATTTGAAAAGATCCTGGAGAAAATGATTCTAAGGACAGATTCTATGACCTTTATTATCAATTACTACCAAGGTAGTTTTTATTTGTAAAATATGTTTATGTATTTTTCTTTCTTTCAAGATAATTTTTTATACTTAAAAAGATAATTTGTATACATATTAAAAATTCCAAAGCATAAAAATTATAAAAGGTACAAAAAGAATATAAAAAGAGAATAAAAATATATACAGTGGTAAAAAAAAAAAAAAAGCCTCTCTATCCTAACCTTCTTGTCTCTCAGTTCCTTTTCCCAGGGTGGTCACCCTTAAAAGATTTTTGCTCTATGCATTTAAAAGAAGTTGTGTATATTTGTAAATATACACATATGTATATTTTTAAAAATGTTATACCAAAGGAAGCATAGTATATTCCTTCTTATGCATCTTGTTTTTTTCATTTAATATATATAGTTTGAAAATTATTCCACATTAAAAAAATATAAAATTTGAAGTGTTTTACTTTATTAATGCAGGCCAACTTTCCACTGTCAAAAGGAAATAGAGCATTGAATTTATACTTCCAAAGCTAAATGTATGTGCATGAATGTAGCATTCTGATTCAAAATAGAGAATGTTTTTTCTTTGAAAACTGGCTTTCAGATGCTTTTTATCAAAGTAGAATAATAACAAAATAATATAGGAAATTGAAGTATTTCTGAAATCCTCAAAACTGAAACAACCTGATATCCTTTCTTACTCTGTGCCCTATATTTTATCAGAAAAAAAATCCATGACAAATAAATAAGCAGATAGTAAAGATTTAGTTTAAAAACAACAAGTTCCAGACTATTCTGAGGACAGTAAAAATTCAGTCTTATGTTCTGAAAGAACTCTGAGCTAGAAATCATGAATTCCAATCCCCATTTTTCCAAGAATTAATCATGTCATTATGAGTAAAACATCTTACTTCTCTGGACCTCAGGGGTTTTTTTCCACCTGCAAAATTAGTGGGGTGGGGCGCCTGGGTGGCTCAGTCGTTAAGCGGCTGCCTTCGGCTCAGGTCATGATCCCAGAGTCCTGGGATCGAGCCCCACATGGGGCTCCCCGCTGGCGGGAAGCCTGCTTCTCCCTCTCCCACTCCCCCTGCTTGTGTTCATGCTCTCGCTGACTCTGTTTCTGTCAAATAAATAAATAAAATCTTTAAAGAAAAATTAGTGGGATGGATGATGATTAAGTTTATGATGACAATGAAATGAAATAATATGATAATAATAAATGTTTATTACCCACCTACTTTGTACTAGGCACTTTATAAACACTAGTTTATTTACTCCTCATAACAACCCAATGAGACACATATTATCTCCATTTTTGAAAATGAGTAAACTGAGGCTCATAAAGATTGCATAGTTCCCCAAGATCACAGAGTAAGTGGTAGAATCAGTTAGAATCCCCGTTTTCTAGATCTGAATCTTTAGTTACTGTTTTCCAATCTTTTAATTTGTGCTTGATTTTCATAAGCATAAGAATTTTGTCTGCCCCCACTGTGATTCTAATATGCTTCCTGATATTGAAAATCACTGCATTATATTATTTTCTATTTTTATATCATCTACATCTTCAGTATGATAGTATTATTATAAAATTAGATGCTGAAGTGCTCATTGAATCATCAAAGAGTAATTAATATTAATATTCATTATAGTTTTACTGTTAAGTATAACTGGAATATTAATTTAATCAGAACATGCAATTCTCTGGCCAATTTAGGTAAGTATTTGGATAGTCACAGCCACCTGATCAAACAAAAATAGAATTCAATACAATTTCTCCAGATGAAATAATTTGAAAAAAATAATATATCATATATTAAAACTACAAATTTTAGGGATTGAATTACCTTGTGAAAGAATGCATTAAACTTTTAAAAATGCATTCATTGGGCTTTTCTCAATTAGTAATTTTTATTCTCACAGGCTATTTTGACATGTATGTGTGTTTTAGGAATGCTATCCAGAGGTCCAATGTCATCATCACATTGTCCAACAGCCCCAGATCATCCACTCTCCACACTGTCAACAATCCCATTCTAGCCAACAAATCGAAACCATCACAGGAAGTGATTCGATTTCTACAAACACTGGAAAAGAACTGTGCCATGGGGGATCAAGCCATATACATGATCAGGTAAGATCAATTGGCTGATTCCTTATAAAACTGAAATAACACTCTTAAACCCTTCTCACACCACTGTATAGGCACCCACACTGAATTTTCAACAAAATATTGAGGTATTTGTGTTTTGTTTGTGGCATTTTTAAAACAAAATTTTCTATTTCCTGTCAGAAGACAAAATAATTCAGGTCTATTAATGCATTAAATCTATGAGGGAAGTTATAAACTGATTAATGAATACCTAATTTCTAGCTGATCCTCAGTTCTAAAAAGGTTCAATGGTTGTGCAACATTAAATATTTTCATGAGGCATGGTATTTAAATGGACAATGAATTGGAAAGGATATTAGCTAAGGATTAAAATGGTCACATTTCACAAACTGGTAATTACTTCCTATATGTGTTCTATGAAAATATGCTATATTAATGCAAGTCATAAAATGCATACATTTTACTGTATATTACATCAACAAAATAGAAACTAAAACTTGGTTGCTAAGGAGAAATCCCTTGGGATACAATCATCAGTGACTAACTTATATTCTGAAGACTGGAATTTTGGAAACAACTGTTATACAAGTGTTAAAGGAAAAAAATATTTTCTTGTATCTTGGTAAAACTAACAACAATAACTGAAACAGTGGGGAATCAAACACCATTTGTATTTTTTCAGGTCTTTTTTCCCAGTAAGGAATAACTTGCTCAAATTGACCTCTTTCATAGGCAGCTCTTACTAAAAGATAGAAGGAAAAGAATAAGAAAAAATAAAGAAGGAGCCTGCACACATAAGAATTTTGATTGTTTTATAGTAAATATGCATAAGATTATTTCTAAGGACTGAAACTTTGAAATATGTATTTTGGCCATATTGGTCAAAAATAACCATAAAAGATTTAAGATCCATATTTTTCCACCCTAAAAAAAACCTAAAATTATATTTTCTTTGAATTTCACGTATGGGAATATTGTCATCTGGATTACTCTAAAACATGATACAGATGGTTTTGAACTTCTTACATTAAATGGATTGGTAATAATGATTTAAAATATTTTATTAAGTTAAATCATTTGAAATTGTCATTTTTGTAGGTCAATGTTGGTCAAATAGCAATGATTTCATACAGTTTAGTCTAATTCTTTGCTCCTGTTTCCTCATCATAAAATAGAGATTTATCACTCATAAGTTACTTGCAAAAGTTTGCACAGCTAGCATTTGGAAAAGCCAAGACAGAGAGATGTAGGGAGTCCTTTATCAATAGTGTAAACATAAATAGAGCACTGGACTAAGAGCCTGCCAGAGGAGGGGTACTGGTGACATAACAGAAAGTGGACCAGCTTCAGAGAAAGAAGAACTGGGTTCCAGTCCCAGGTTCTGTACCTTTCAAGCTGTGTATTTTTAATTAATACTAAATCTCTCAGAAACATCCTCATCCATAAAATTTAGGTAGTAATGTCTACCTCACAGAATTGATATAAAGTCTAAATAAAAACATATGTTGAAAGTGCTTTATAAACTATAAAGTCTGCAACATAAAAAAAAATCCACAGAGAAGATTTTCAGAGATTCTTAGAAGCTATTTCAAGTGTAAAACTTAAGCTAGAATAATAACAGTAAGAATGGAATGAAGGACATTTATCAGAGATGGAAATAATATCACAGGATTAAGAATCTTGTCCAGTGGCAATGGTGATGCTATGATATTCTTTCACTAGCTTAGTACAACTAATAGTATATTTGACTGGACTAGATATTGTGTATTTTGAAAATGGGAAGAGTTGAATAACTAATATATTATTTTTTATTTTATATTTATGCTTCAGTTTGAGATTCTGATGTAGCTTTGTTAAATATTGGAGGGTTTTTGTATGGATTAAATTTTTCTGGGTTGTCTGCTGAAAACAGGATAGTGCCCTGGGAAGTGTAGAGCTAGTAATTCCACTTATATGGATTACATAGGATTCACTCCTGGTCAGACTGAGGATGGGGTAATCTGGTTGTGCAGATCCCATACATAAAGGAGGGAAGAAAATGAGTTCTCCCAACTAGACTCCTTGATATTTAATTTTTTTTAAGATTTTATTTATTTATTTGAGAGAGAGAGAGAGATTGAGAGAACAAGGGGGAAGAGTGGCAGAGGGAGAAGCAGACTCCTGTGGGCCAGGGAGCCCGACGAAGGTCTCGATCCCAGGATCCTGGGATCATGACCTGAGCCCAAGGTAGATGCTTAACCGACTGAGCATTTAAATACTGAGTATTGGGCGCCTGGGTGGCTCAGTTGGTTAAGCGACTGCCTTCAGCTCAGGTCATGGTCCTGGAGTCCCAGGATCGAGTCCCACATCGGGCTCCCTGCTCGGCGGGGAGTCTGCTTCTCCCTCTGATCCTCTTCCCTCTCGTGCTCTCTGTCTCTCATTCTCTCTTTCTCAAATAAATAAATAAAATCTTAAAAAAAATAAATAAATACTGAGTATTTAAATACTCCTTGGTATTTAAATATCTCTTCCACATGGGTGGAAGAGAGTCTCTTTAAAGAGCTATAGAGCAGATATAAGTCAGGTTCTCTTAAAACTAAAGGTTGGCCCATTTTTAGTTTATATTTAGAGTTAAATTGTAATTTGGAGGTAGCATAATAAGGTTAAAACAAATAAACCTAACCAAAAAGGTAAAAGATCTGTACTCTGAAAAATTTAGAACAGTTATTAAGTAAATTGAAGATGACACAAAGAAAAGGAAAAACATTCCATGCTCATGGGTTGGAAGAACAAATATTGTTAAAATGTCTATACTTTGCCCAAAGCAATCTACACATTTAATGCATTCCCTATTAAAATACCAACAGCATTTTTCACACAGCTAGAGCAACCAATCCTAAACTTTTTATGGAACCACAAAAGACTCTGAATAGGCAAAGCAATGATAAAGAAAAGCAATGCAGGAAGCATCACAATTTCGGACTTCAAGCTCTATTACAAACTGTAATCATCAAGACAGTATAGTACTAGCACAAAAATACATAAATCAATGGAACAGAATAGAAAACCCAGAATTTAACCCACAACTATATGGTCAACTAATCTTTGACAAAGCAGGGAAGAATATTCAATGGAAGAAAGACAGTATGTTCAACAAATGGTGTTGGGAAACCTGGACAGCAACATGCAGAAGAATGAAACTGGACCACTTTCTTATACCATACACAACAGTAAATTCAAAATGGATGAAAGGATTAAATGTGAGACAGGAAACCATCAAAACCCTAGAGGAGAACATAGGCAGCAACCTCTCTGACATCGGGCAAAGCAACTTCTTAGTAGACACATCTCCTGAGGTAAGGGAAACAAAACAAAAATTAACTATTGGGATTTCATCAAGATGAAAAACTTCTGCACAGTGAAGGAAACAATCAACAAACTAAAAGGCAACCTACAAAATGGGAGAAAATATTTGCAAGTGATATTTCTGATAAAGGGTTAGTATCCAAAATCTATAAAGAACTGATATAATGCAACAACCAAAAAACAAATAATCCAATTTAAAAAATGGGCATAAGACATGAACAGACATTTTTCCAAAGACATCCAGTTGATTAAGAGACATAAAAAGATGCTCAACATCATTCATCATCAGGGAAATATAAATCAAAACCACAATGAGATACCACTTCACACCCATCAGAACAGCTAAAATTAACAACACAGGAAACAACAGATGTTGGTGAGGATCTGGAGAAAGGGGAACCCTCTTACACTGTTGATGGGAATGCAAACTGGTGCAGCCACTCTAGAAAACAGTATGGAGGTTCCTCTAAAGGTGAAAAATAGTGCTACCCTATGACCCAGCAATTGCACTGCTAGATATTTACCCAAAGGATACCAAAATACTGATTTGAAGGGGCACATGCCCCCTGATGTTTATGGCAGCATTATCAACAATAGCCAAATTATGGAAAGAGCTCAAACATCTATTGACTGATGGGTGGATAGGGGGGATGTGGTTTATATATACATACATATATATATATATATATATTATATATATATAATATATATAAAGAATGAGATCTTGCCATTTGTGGTGACATGGATAGAACTAGAGTTTATTATGCTAGGCAAGATAAGTCAGTCAGAGAAAGACAAATGTGATATGATTTCACTCATATGTGGAATTTAAGAAACAAAACAGATGAACATTGGGGAAGGGGTAAAAAGAGAGAGGGAGGCAAACCATAAAAGACTCTTAACTATAGAGAACAAACTGAGGGTTGCTGGAGGGGAGGTGGGTGGGGGATGGGCAAGTGGGTGATGGGTATTAAGAAGAGCACATGTTTTAATGAGTACTGGGTGTTATATGTAAGCTCTATATATACTAAGTTATATACTATGTTCTACTCCTGAAACCAATATGCTATATGTACATTATATGTTAACTAACTAGAATTTAAATAAAAACTTAAAGTTAATTAATTAAAATAAATTGAAGGGAAAAAAGCACAGTGCCCATTGTAGTTTTTTAAATTGGGGTATAATTGACATATAACATTATATTTCAGGTGTGAAACATAACAATTTGATAGTTATATATATTGTGAAATAATCACTACAGTAAGTCTCATTAACATCTGTCACTTTCCATAGTTTGCTTAATTTCTTTCTAGTGATGAGAATTTTTAAGATCTATTCTCTTAGTAACTTGCACATATGTAATATAGTATTATTAACTGTAGTCACCATGCTGTATATTACATCCCTGTGACTCATTTATTTTATGATTGAAAGTCTGTACTTTTTGACCCTTTTACCTATTTCACTCACCTTCACCCCTACATCTCCAGCAATCTCTTCACTCTATTTATGAGCTTGGCTTTTTGGGTTTTGTTATTTTAGATTCCATAGATGAATGTGATCATATGGTATTTGCCTTTCTCTGACTTACTTCAACTAGCATTTTGCCCTCAAGGTCCATCTGTGTTGTCGCAAATGCCAAGATGTTGTTCTCTTTTTATGGCTGAATAATG